CCTTTAACTAGTAACTAATAATGTATCTTTGACCAGTCAATACGGTGTCGCGGATAATCATTTAGTTTAGCTATGTTACCTCCAATATTAATAAAATTACCCTCATAAGATGCGATTTTGAATGAAATGAATGAAGGACATTATTTTTGCCAGATTCAATCGTTCCGTTCAAAAACAAAAATCGCGTCTTTGTATGGTAAAATTTATTTTTATATATTTTATATATAAAGTTATATATGGTGTAAAAAGACATTAAAAATATAAAAATATAAATAAAATTAAACTTTTGTTGAATATCTTCTTTTTATACACATATTTTATACATTGGTTAAAGGTACAACACTCCCTGGTCAAAGGTAATACAATGTGGGTGTTGTACCTTTGATCAAAATTCAATTTTTTTCTAATGTTAAAAAAGATGTACAAAAAATATCAGTTTGAATCTATAAAAAATACATGTTTGTGTTAACGCTTCATAGAATTTTTTTGAATTTTTAGACATCAAAATACAACTTGCACAAGAAAAAATGTCAAAATTGGTCAAAGGTACACCACCTTCCCCTATCGTATGTGATATATTCTTATACGATCTTGTATGTTCCAAAATTCGTATGTGAAAATTTTCTTGGAAGATCTCACAAGAATTTTTCTTGTAAGAATTTGTAACAGGGTAGAACTTGATCAATTCAGCCGTTATTGAGATCCGATAATCTCAATTCCCCGCAATTCGCCGGTTCGCGTAAAGGAGGCACGGCAGTGTCGCTGCACTTGGCTTAGCGCTGAGACACTACCGTGTCTCCAGATAAAGACATGTCGGTGCACTGGAAAAACAGCTACATCTAGTGACTTTGTCGGAGTTGGAGCTTCGCTTTAGGATCCCCTTAAAATATATGGAAAAATCGATTTTAAAACAATATAATATTTGAAAAGAACTATTCGTCATTACGCACACACACAAAATAGTTCTAGGAAAACATGAGGTTTATCTAGTCAACTTGATCTAAAGGATCAAGTTGACCTAATATATACCAAAAAAACGGTCTTATTGATACTCCTTTTATTAAATGTATTAATATAACTTATGTAACAATTGTAATATGCATATCTACATAAAATAAATGTACATACAGTTGATACCTTATATTTGTAATAATTTTAATTCATAAATTTGAGTTTTAAATAAAAGCATAATTAAGAGATCTACAAATATGATTTAGGCAACCAGTCGCCTACAGCCCATTCTACAATTGCGTAAGCGTAGTTGTAAGTGGTTGTAGTTGTAAGAATTAACCAATCACAGTCAAATATGAGGAGAATATTCGACTGTGATTAATCAATTCTTACAACTACAACTACTTACAATTACGTTTACGCAATTGTAGAATGGGCTTAAAGCGTATTTGTAGATCTCTTAATTATGCTTTTATTTAAAACTATCAAATTTAAGAATTAAAATTATTACAAATATAAAGTTAATAAAAAGAGTTATTAATTAATACTTACACTGCCGGAAATTGAAATCCCAACACCATGAAAGAGTTGTGCTAGATGAATGAAAGTTATACAAAATGTTTGTTTACATGAGTTATTATATTGATATCTATTACAAGATCACAATTCCAGGATACGAGTGTAGTGTACCATATAAACATTAAGTATGTATATTCCGACTTAATACCCATTGTAGTCACCTCTATTGAATGCAGGCCTCTAAACGTGCATGCATCCGATCGTAGAGGATGTAAACAAACATTCTATGTAACTTTCATTCATCTAGCACAACTCCTTCATGGTGTTGGAATTTCAATTTCCGGCAGTGTATTTCATTAATAATCCAAACTTGAAGAGTTAAGGATATTTTATAATTTCAAAATGATAACAAAATTATAAAAAAGTTACAGATTATTCTAAATCACGTTTAAAAAGAATATGACAAATTTGGTGACTATCTAGATTATAAGGTATTTTAATAAATAGTAGTATTTTTTAAATCCGTGTTCTAATAAAAATATATGGAAATATATTATAAAATATATGATAAAATCTCAACTTTTTAATATAAGTACATTATATATTCAAGATTATTTACGTAGAGTTATATTGCGATGCATAAACTAGTTGTCCAGTAAATAAACAAAACATTTATTTGTTCTATATCTTTGTAATTAATTAGTGAATCACAATGAAACGTTGCATAAATTATTTTGAATATTTAAAGTACTTATAAAGAAAAATGTAAATTTTTTTTATCATTTTTAAAATTTTAATTTTTAACAATAAAAATAATAAATAAAATAAACTACAAAAGTGTGTTATTAAACAAAAATATAATCTTATTCACACAACTTTCATATGTATATAGTTTATTTAGTGTAAATATTAAACATGCTTCCAAATTTAAATTTCTTTGCAGGGATTGCACGTCTAATACATCCTT